AGATGCATTGTCTGGACTCAGATGTGTTTAAAGTGTTTCTTAAAAGATCTTTATTTAGACAAGCATTCTAGTTCTACCTCATCTAATTTTATCACTTTAAATGCTATTATATTTCAATATGCTGTTTTATGTATTTTTATGTTCCATGTTTTGGTATGTCCTTATCTTTCTAGATATTCTTAGGATTTTATCCCTGAAGAAAATACATAAACAAATGAATATTGGATAGGGGTAAAATGATTCCCTCTCTTTCTGAACTGGACCAGCAATTAAAAACTATTAAATAAACTATAATCATATGATCCGTCCCTGAAAGCATGAGGAAGGATTCCAAGGACGCCAAACACTCCTCGTAATGTATCCGCCTTTCTCCTTGCTGTAAACCACATGCTTTGAATATGCTTTTCAGAGTAGCCAACTTCATTTGTTTATTTGCAAACCTGCTCTGGCCTGGGTTCCTTTCTTTTGCTGCCTTTCTTTTGAAGAATATTCTAATGAGGAGTTGACATCCATTGTCACTCTCTGGCTTTTACTCCTTCAGTTTGCCCCCAACCCCCCCTGCCCCCTCTTATATTGACCATGTTGCACGTAATAAATCAACCCTGAGTGGGGCTTCCTTGCAAGTACCCTAATGAAAGCTCATTTATAAAGTGGCTAAATGGTCCTGACAAAAGTACTAATGAGGAAATCAATAGTTCAATGATTGTTGCTCTGCATATACTAATACGTTTTGCCTGTAGTGCTTTAAATCCAACTAAGAGAGAGCCATTTTTTACTGTTCAGTTCAGTGTTTTTGCACTGTTGTAGATTTCATCATGCCAATTTGCTTGGAGATAAAGTGCATCATTCTGTAAAAGACATAGAATGTTAGATAGCTTTCCATCAATGAAAAGTAAAAGTCAGCACGGAGAGAGTAAACTTGTTCAATGGAGTAATTCAAATCAGAACATAAGGATGGGAAAATGTAATGAACTAATATAGAAAGTAGTGTCAAAGATAATAGTGTTTTTTCTGTCTACAGTATATACGTACATGTGTTGTGTTTAATTATGAAGAAATAGATACTTGAACAAATCACACAAGAAAATAATCAGGTATATTAAAGTTTGTTCAAAAAACACACACACACACAACTTCAGGTTATTCTGCAGCTAGAGTAGAACAAAGTTTACACCTGGCTTTCAAGACATTCTAAGATTTGTAACAGATGACATTAATATCAAACCCAGCCAAACGATCCTAAATCCTGTCAAATACAAAAGTCAAATCTTGTACTCATTGTCTCCATTGAAACCCACCACACTTTCCTCTCCCTAGACACCTCCTCCAGCTCTACTTAGGGAAGTCCAGGTGCTCTGAGGCATAGAGAAACATAGTCCCCCAAGAACATCCTAGGTTGTCCCCTAGGCCTTCTCTCACCTATGGGAGGCATCCAGGGGGCTTCCAAAAGTCTAAGCCACCCCAGCTAACTCTCTCGATGTGGAAGAGAAGAAGCACTACTATAAGCCTCTCCCCAATGGCTCATTGTGAGCTTCTAACCCTGTTTCTTAGGGAGTACCCAGCCACCCTCTGGATAAAGCATATTTCAGATATTTGTATCCGGGATTTCATTATTTTCGTCATGATCCATATTTCTCAATAATATGTAAGGGTAGAAATTTGGACCGACTAGTAAATCGAGAGCTTGGCTTTTCACTTACCTCTCTTGCCATCACAATAGACTGCTGAAGTCCAGATTACAGCAGCCATGTTGATCAATCGAGCTCCCACTCCAATCTCCTCTGACTCATGGACAGGACCCCAAGATACCTGACCTCCTCCTCTTGAGGCAGGAATTCTCCTCCAACCTGAACGACAAAGCCATATTTTCTCCTGTCAAAAACCATGGCCTTAGCCAAGAGGAGCTGTTTCTCATCCACGCTGCTTTGCACCCAGCTAGAAATTGCACTTGTACCTGCTATAGGTCTTGGTAGGAGGGAGTCAGCAGAGCCATATGATCTGCAAAATCCAGACCCACTCTGGGCCTTGACTGCATCTAGGTATCCAGCCCATTAAGGATATGACCAGGATTGGGGAAAGAGGGCAGCCTAGCATTCACTGGGAACAGGTCAGACATAAGGCTGGCAATTTGGACCAAACTCCTACTGCTCTTGTAAAAAAACTAGGATGGCCCCTAGTTATGGCCACCAATCGAATATTCCAGGAGGGCCCTCACAGGGGACCACGAGGGACAAAGCCGAATAACTTCTCTGGGTCCACAAAACACATGTGGACCAGTTGGACAAACTCTCATGATCCTTTCAGTACCCTTCAGGGGATTTAGAGCTGGTTCAGTGTTCGGGAGAAATCATATAATGATAAACAATGAAAACCAGTTGGAAAACAAAATTGTAGTTATTGGTAGGCCCTTGTCAATGCTTGTTTCAACATTTCTCCAATTAGTATTTGTACTGTGGCTGACAATATCCTGGCTGATTTGCATTAAAATGGTGAAAGTTAGAAAGGTGGAGTCAAAAAACAGACTTGCAGAAGAGACAGGTGCTTGCAGTAAAACCTAACACTGTCATAACAGTGTTAAAGTAGCCCCAGCAAAACACATCCAAGAAACAGTACAACAACTTACATGGGGAAACAGGTGCCAGAGACGGAAGCTAAGGAAGGCACCACTTTAGGGTGAACAATAGTAACTTGTGAAATGCTCACACCATGCCCTTGACAATCAAAAAATAAAAGCTCTGCATAGAGCATATGGAACCTTTTGACATTGGTAACTTTTAGGGTACTTGTATCTGCAACCACAGGAGTTGTTGTTTGTTTGTGTCTATAAATAAGCAAAAGTCTATGAGCCAGACCCAAAGCCCTCACCAGCAATACTACTGATGAGATGTAGTGTTTTTCAGGTTGTACTTGGCTGCTTCTGGATACCAGATCACAAATGCAGGGGGGGGATCTATTTACCTAAAATCCATGAGAATATAGGCAGCTTTCAAGGCCGGGTTATGGGAACCACATTCAGATAGACACTACTGTTTTTGTTCTGGCAGACATCGTTGACTTACTTTGTGCCAATGGTGAACTTCCAGTTATCTGTGTTTTTGGGTCATTCTCTCTCATAAAATATATAGCTTTCACATTGTTCTTTTTTAGTCCATCTGCTGGACCCAGAACCATAACTTGCCTGTCACATCAGTGAGGATTGCCTCCAGTTTGGGATTCTGATCCAATACTGTCTCAGTCTGAGCGCTGAAAGTTTGGCATATTCCATCACACAGGCTGGACAACCTTTACATGGCCTGAACGGCTGTCAATAGCTTACGAATTTTTCAGATAGAGTGGGTATCCAATAAGTGAAATGAACAGAAATCTTGCTATCAATAATCCAATAATGGATATCTCTTTAAGATCCTAGACCAACAGTAAAGACAGGCACATTATATTCCCCTTCCCCCAGGAAACCATAACTTGCCCAGCATCGCCCAGCATCATCTGTCCCGTTTGGACAAGAGGGTTCTCCTTTGGCCAGTCTCCTCATTGAGAAAATTTGACCAGTACAGTTGAGAGACAAGCTGTCCAGCTCCATAATTTCCAATTTTCAGAGGATTTGTAAAGAGGGGCTCCAGAAGCAGGCAGAGAAGCAGGATAAATAAGGGAGGTTGTGGAAGAGGGACAGAAAGCCTCTGCATTTGTCAAGACCAGGAACAAACAAACAAACACTAACCCCAGGCCTGACTCCCGGGTCAGGTGCAGGTTTTGCTGTATCAGACGTCATCATGTGCCTTGCATTTGAAAACTTCTTAAAGGCTTTTTCACCTGCTCTTTCAAGCAGAGAATGAACCCTTAGGAGACCCTAACATTTAAGCTCCAGACAACATAGTCTCTTGGATCATCAGGGCACTGAAACCCCTCCACTACATTTAGGTGTTGGTAGTGGTAGGAGGAGAGATAATTATATATACATATATATATATATATATATATATATATATATCTATATATATATAGATAGATAGATAGATAGATAGATAGATAGATAGATAGATAGATAGATAGATAGATAGATAGATAGATAGATAGATAGATAGATAGATAGATAGATAGATAGATAGATAGATAGATAGATAGATAGATAGATAGATAGACCATTTACAATTTTTTATTAAATAAATTAGCATGCCAGAGATATCTACTCTCACACACTGGGTATGCTGTACTTGCAACACTTTTGTTAAAAAATAACACAGAACAACCCAATGCAGCTGAACACTGTGGATTGGATACTTTGCTCTCCACCGAGAGAGCATTGTAAGGGATACATAGATATGATCCATTTTATAAATTTTTTTCTTAATGTTTAAGCCCATATAACATACATTTTTAGTATTTCACCATAAATGTCATGATATAAAAAGGTGTGACTGTAGCTTTAGGTCTCATCGATCTGGAATCAAGCATTAATAGAATTAAATTGTTATATTTCTAAAACAAATTGGTTTGGTGTTTTCATAAGGAAGAATAATTTAGTATGGCAGCATGGAGACAGATGGTGACTCACCCCTGTAAGGTCATTGATCATCAGCATTAGCAGTTTGGAGAGTGTGCAGCAGGAAGCTGAGGGTGGAGCACCCTGCTCCTCAGTCAATTGCAGGGGCAGGTAGATTAAACTCTTCTGCTCCTCCCTATGCCTCATTGTTGGAACTGCGTCACCAGTGGCTTCCCTGTGTGTCCCCTGAAAAGGCCTCTTTGACAACATTTAAATTATCATGACTCAATTTGTAACTAATGAAACACATTATTAATTTAGAATGATTAATTTAGAATAACTATGCTTTAGTATATAGCACCAGTTTTCTCTTAAATTTGGAATAAAACTGATGCTCTGTTATGTATTCCTTTTAATAGTAGGTCAGCTTTAGATTTTGATTTGAAGAAAAAAATCCCATGTTTCCTTTGTCCTTTTATTTTTGCTCCCTTTACAGTTCCCTTTCCTTTTTTTTTTTCAGAACAAAGAATAAGCTGTGGTACTTTGAGTTCGGCACTTCGGAGACGTTTTCGGCCACATGTAAGAAGCTCCATGACTTCTTGGAGGTTGAGGTAAACCACACTCTGCTTGCAGAGAGCAATACTAGAAAGGAACAAAAGAAAAGAAAAGAACCTAATAAAAGTGTCTAGTTTTATTTGATCTGTTATGAACTCTCAAATAAGAAATAGAATATAAGATTTTCACTACATTAAAAATATTAAACTGCCTTAAGGTAAACATGATTGCTCAGCTAAGGAATGTTCTGGTCCTCCTCTGTTCTTTAAATATGCTAGATTTAACTTCAGAAAGTGTTGATGTGTGAGGGCTATCTCTGTAACTCCCTGCCTGATTTTCATAGATCCCGAGTTCAACACTCAGGTAATTAGCCCAATGTGACCCTGCTGTGCGTAATATTGAGTGATAATGAAGCTGGTGTCTATACAATTCATCTTCCACTCTCACAGAGCTATCCACACAGTGTAGAGTTCTTCATCAATTAGTGCTCTCTCTCTCTCTCTCTCTCTCTCTCTCTCTCTCTCTCTCTCTCTCTCTCTCTCTCTCTCTCTCTCTCTCTCTCTCTCTCTCTCTCTCTCTCTCTCTCTCTCACTCTCTCTCTCTCTATCTCTCTCTCTCTCTCTCTACTGGGCTGCAATTAAAATGTCAAGAGATAATCAAATGTGTTAAGCTTTACTCTGCATAATACAGTGTTTTTGACTTAACGGAGATCAGTTGCAAAGACTTTCAATCCTAAGCTTAGTCCAACAAACTTGACAGATTTGTGAGAATATCTATGGGGGGGGATACAGTGTTTTCTTACTGGGACAAAGAGCAAAAGAATACAATAAAAAAAAAACAGGTTATTGGTTGATTGTTTAACACATGAAATGCCAAAAATGTGGGGAGCTTGAAACCTTGGACCACAGAAACTCAGGTCAGTGACTAAGAATAACGGGCTGATAACAACTAAGAGAAATTAGTCACTGACCTGGTTAAGAGTTCAGTCTGATCCCAGAGGAAGGAGATGAGTCCAAGGGGGAGATTGTCCTCAGCTTGCAGTGGGCGCCACCCCCAGAGCTCAGGGTGATGAGTGGAGCTGATGGCAGCCGACGCCGAGGAGCAACAGTGTCCTGAAGGGAATATCCAGAGCTGAAGTTGTAGCAGAACCAAATTCACAGACCAGAAGATCAGACAGCCGATGAGGTACAGAAGGGGAATCCAAGCTGAGGTCAGAAGAACAGTCCAGTGGAATCCAGAAATCAGTCCAGAACAGAGCAGATTAACAGAGCAGACAGGGACAAAGCAAAAACTCGGGATCCACAGGGCAGAAACAGGTCACAATCAGATTATCAGAACAATAATCAGAACGCTGCTTGGTCAGTTACTCTCACCAAGCAGCTTGAATAATCTGGCACTGGTAGCTGGAAAACAAACAGTATATATAGGAGCTGGATACAGGTGGAACACATAAGCAGTAAAGAGAAACCGGGCAGAGTTACACAGGTGAATGGAATGAGCAATCAAGCCAAAAACCAGTGCCAGGATCATGACTAAGGCTACGATCACATTGCAGGCCTTGATGCTCAAATCCGATTTTTTTTTTTTGCATTGCCGTTCATACTTCCAAATTGTGCGACTTGTATGTGATCTCCTGTGTGAACTGCACTCATACAAAGCAAGTGTCCCACATGAGCAGTAGAGGACGCAAACACGTCACAGGCCAGTGTGCTCTGTGCTTACGGAAGTAAACATGGATGGTCTAGCGGTCTTTTCCAACCATAAAAACTAAATCTTTTCAATATGGTTAAACATGTATACTGCTCTTCGCATCATCATCTGCTATGGTTGCCGCTGCTGCATAGCAAGAAGAGTGACCACTGGCGGGTATTGGCGTTCAGGTCGGATGAATGCGACTGGCCGTTCAGACACAGGTCGCATTTGTAAAGATCAGATTCGTATTGGATTCAGGACCACATAGCCAAGTGGCCTGGGTCGGATTGGAAAAAATCGGATCTGTGTTGTTCAGACAGCCATGAAAAGATCCGATCCAGGTCCCATATGGGCCAAAAAATCGGATTTGGGTCACTTCAGGCTGCAGTGTGAATGTAGCCAAAAAAAACAATCGTAACTTTGAAGACGCTCATTAGCTGCTGAAAATTGTGATATTGAAGCACCTGAAATCATTAAAAAAAGAGAAAAAACAAAAAGACAAAATTTGTCCAAGCTATAGTTCAGAACAAAACACAAGATTGTTTTGATATAATGTCTTCAGGGGCCACAACAAGGGCCAGGACCAGTTCTAAAGGGGCACCTGCACCTGTTTAGAAATTCCCATAAGTTTATATTTTCCCTAGCTTAAGGAATACTTTACGCCCTATTTAGTTCAGGCAGATCAAAAAGCCAAATAGCTTAAATCATTTCCATTTAAAGTTTTATTGTAGACTAAGACCCCCAGTATACCGTCTACATTATACCTAAGTAGACAGTGGCTCTAGAGTACTGAGAGGCAGAGGTCACAACTCTAGAGAGGCGAATGGTGACTTTTTGGCAAATTCAGCATGTCTAGATCACCATCCCCCATACAAACTAGGCAAATTTAAATTTGCCTTTAACTCCTTCTCCGATCTAGAATTGTGGCTCCTTAGCTCCAGAGGGGGACATGGTCATCCTGATTCTTGCCCAGATTAAATCAATGACCAGCAGGATGCATGATGTTGTGGAGCTTTTCATCATCCATGCAAGTTTGTCTGCTGTGCAAGTTACCTTTACTAATGTGGGGTCTTTATATTGAAATGTCAGGGAAGCCATACACAAGAAGATGGGCAATTTTTCGCAGATTTCACGTTTGATGAAAACCCACCATTAGAGACATTCAGGAGGTTCTAGTTAGATGAAGAATGTGTCCTTAATAATTAGGGATCAACAAGTCAAGACTACATTGTTCTTAATCAGATATTAATTTGACAGCGTAGAAAGAGGACAAAACTTGTGGGATGTGTTCCCTCCTGTTAATTGCCTGCATCACATGATGATTAATCATGTATCATCCTGTGGAATATTAAATCATACATGTTTGACTGGCTTCACACATTACTTCAATCAAGTGAAAAAATATATGTTTTATTTTATACATTTAGAGGGTAGTCTACAAATTACACTGTCAACTTGATTACATGGTTCCTCTGTTTTTCCTTTCATTTTTAACAGTGTGATGGTGTTACTCTGGACCTCAGTAGCATATCCTTAGAAGGCATTGCAGTTCTCAACATCCCAAGTATGCATGGAGGCTCCAATCTTTGGGGGGAAAGCAAAAAGAGGAGGGGTCAGCGTAAGGCGGGGAAGAAAAATCAAGAAAAACGGACTCCAGTGGTTGACCCCAAAGAGCTCATGTTTGCTGTTCAAGGTAGCTTTGCCATCTCAAAAATGTTTTATTGTTTATGGCTCTGTTCTTGAATCCCAATATGATTTTCTTTTCACATCCAATTTTAACCTTTTGAATATGTGGTCCTAAGACTGATCTTTTTAAATTTGACTAATGTGGGAAAAACAAAAATAAAATTGTGGTGACTTTCACACAACTTTCCATTTACATTTGTCACAACTTTGCTACAGCAGTGGCTAGAAGTGATAGCAGTTTGTGAAATAGTCAGCAGCCTCAAAAACACCTCAAAAAGGAGGGAGAGTGAGATTTTAGACTCACTTCTATATGTAGGGAAACCTCTATTTAGACCAGATTGGAAGGTTAGACCCTTTTGGTTGTATATACAGAGGTTTGTATATCCTGCAAACAGAGAAATTTGCAATGCTGACTGTGTGGTAATCTGTACTCGTTGCAATGCAACACAATGTATTTTGCTGCCTTAGGAGTTGAGAAGAGAGGAAAATACATATTTAAATAAAAGTTACCTTCAAAATCCTAAAGTTCTTCAGGAACTCGGTCTCTGTGAAGCTGTTGACATCCTTACCCCTCCAGTCCTGGCTCTGTCACAGAATCCAAACAGGATTTCAACTCTGCGCTGGGAGCAAAAGCTCTAGCAAAATTCCAGAATACAGAGTTCCATTTTCATTTTATTGGTAGTTTTACCCCCACATATCCACTAACACCAAAAGGACTGTATTTGGACATGTAAAACTGTAACAGATTCTTCTTCTCAATTTCCTGGATCAAAATGTGCTGGACATGGAGGCATTGTCACTATTCTTTTGTACACATGGGTCAGTTTGGAGGTGAAAAAAGTTCACATAAGCAGAACTTTAAAATTATTTTGAAAAAACTCACAAAAAAAATCTGAATCGAGTAATAAGATCTGCAGTAAGGATGTAGCCTTAGATATTTCTTTATTGAATTCATCACCTATGACACACATTTGACACAATATGAAATAAATGAAAGTCGCTGACACTTAATTTTGTGGTAGAAAAGTTTAGGGTTTAGAAACCTCTTTCAGACTCATTGAGTTAGTGTCCTTGCTCCTTTTGCATTGAAAGAAGGCTAAACTTTTAGCAAAACTTTCTCATTGCACATTAATATTTCACTCATGACAAGGTGAATCACAGCCAGACGGTTTTGTTTGCAAAGAAATGGTACAATCATGTCACTGTGTGGAACTGTCACTTGGGTATTAATGCTCTGTGTAGGCAGCAGCAGACAGTCTCAGTTAATGGGAGTGGACTGAGTGAGGTGTTGGGCAAACCCTTGAATCCATTTACGTCAAAAGGAAACCCATCAACCCGAACATATGAATGAACAAAACAGAATGAGTCAGCAACTCTTTGGTAAATGCTGCAATGGCAAGAATCACCAAAGGAAATATTAGGGAAAGAAACAAGTATGTTAAGTTTTTATTCAAACATTTCATGTATGTTACTATAGTTTTATTTGATTGTAGCTACCAAACAATAAAAATATACAAGATTGAGCCGATTCGTCTGTATGTTGCTATTTCTTTAAAGAAAGGTACCTCTGGAAATGACCTTAGAGCTGTGCCATAATGGAAAATGACAGATTTTAACCAAGATCTGGACAATAAATTCAGACAACTGTTCTTATTGCTTGAGGTAAAGATATTATTAATGTATCCTCATGTTTAAAGAGGCTCCAAAGATAATGTTAATTCTGTATTTAGGATTTCCTCTTGATGATGCAAGCATGATGCAAGATCACCTCGTGTGTGAGTGTCCTCACATACCTGTTGGTTCCAACACCGGACAACTGTGACATTTTTACACCTATAAAGTCAGGCAATTACACAATATGACTAAATGCATAAGAAAACAGAGACCTATTTGTAACTGAATCAGCTGCTTTGAATGTTTCACTTTTTGTTCACCAGACATGCTTTGAGCCTGCTGGACCTTGATAATAGTATTTGTGTTTGTGGTACCCAATAAACACTGCCAATTACTCTGTGGCTTTACTCCTGATGTTCCTTGAAGGCTCCAAACATTAGGAGCAACAAGTGACAGCAACAAAAGGCTCATGACGATTCCGCTGTAAAACCCAACACAAGGGACCCAAAAGTAACAATAACAATTTAGAACCGTGATCTCAGGTCACTTGTCTTCAAGAAATTTGATTAATTACAAAAGGATTTGCACATTTGCAAAGCAGTCTGTGGGATACAAGGCAGAAAGGATGAAGAGTCAGAAAATTATACTGAAATTGACTGATATCATATAATTTCAGGTGTGGAGAGTCAGACACACCTAAAATAATGTTTTCCTTCATATTGAAAGTGGTTGCAGGCCACAGAATGTGCCACTTTCTCTTTAATTATAATCAATTAATGAAACTCACTGATTTTAGTGCTGTTCTACAGAAACAAATACTGAATGATTTTTCAACTTTCTTGTGGACCATCTGTCATGAACCGAGGACAGATGGACCCAGTATTCAAGGAGAGAGTCAGTAGGAAAGTTCAAAAGTTTATTAAATAAACGAACAAAACAAAAGTGGAGCTGTGGCTTGCGGACACTGCAGACTGGGGGGACGGGGCACCGCGCAATCTCAGACACTCTAGGGGAGAAACACAGGTAAGTGACCACGATCAACTGATAGAAGATTATCTGTGTTGGTCACTTACCTGGTTTAACAGTCCAGACCACAAATGTCCCCAGTGCTGCAGTCCCAGAGGTCATGCTGGAAGCCGATCCTGGTGAGGGATCCAGAACAGACAGGAAGAGACAGAACAGGCAGGATCCAGATCAGGCAGGAACAGAAACAGGTGGCAGGATCTAGACTTCCAGGCATCCACAGGCTTCCAGGAGGGTTCAGAGTCTAACTGGGACCAGAAGCATGACCAGGTGGTCATGCACAGGAGCAGACAGGATCAGGTGCAGACAGGCAGGCTCAGTGAAAGAGGGTGGCCGAGACAGGACGTAGAACCAGAACTTGAAGCAGGACTTTAAACTGGTCTCCTCCCTGGAGCCAGGCTTACTTTGATAAAAACTGAACCTCCACACATATTGAGCCAAAAACCCAGAGGACTCTGCGGGGGAGGAACAGTGGACGATCAGGAGACGAGACAAACACTAAAACCCTCTTTCCACTGGCTGCTAGGATCCAGGACATGAACCATCAAATAAAACTGAACAGACAGACTAACAAAAAGACAAGCAATGGTCTGGCACTGAATGCTCAGGCTGAACTGAATATAAAATAGAGGAAACAGGTGAGAGGAATAAATAATAATTGAGGCAGGGAGGGGAAAAACGACAGGTGAAAGGAATGACTAATTAAGGGAGAGCAAACAGGCCAGATCATGACACCATCAGCAGTCAGCATGTGCTCATACGTGCACCAGCTTAGAATTCTACATGCACAAATTTTGCTGGTGAGTTTAGCAAGAGGAGGGTAAGCTATTGTCACCTCATGTCACAACTTTGATAAACATCATCACTGTTGACATAAATCACATTTAGTTGACTGTTTCACATACAGATAAAGAAATTCAAATTCATTGTCAAGCAAACAGTGAGAAAATTAAGTTTGATTAAATCCATTACAGTAGGAAAAACTTTCTGAAAAATACTTTATCCCCACTGTAAGAGTTTAGACTGTGTAAAAGAAAAAACTAGTCATAATCCTGGATTTTTCATTTCAGTGACCCTGCAAACACACTGATAATGTTGCATTAAAATGAAAAAACTATAAATGTGCTGTGCCTCAGTCTCATAAACGGAGGACAATTAGAGATTTGTTGCTCTTTTTACATTTATGGAGACATCTCATTTTAATTGCCTCAATTTAATCATGATACTTGTCACATATTGAATCACAGTTTAATACATGTTATATTTGGGTGTTGCAGTCTGTTTGGGTTTGATATCTGCCTGCTCGTTCGAAGTTGATGTGCAGTGTGTTATGAAGGTTTCCTGGTGAGCTGGGTACGTTGTTTTGGTTGTGCGGATGAAGTGGATGTTAAAATCAGTACTGACGAGCCGGTAAGGCTCTCCAGACATGGCTGCAGGTGATCCCTTGTGAGACTTCACTGGTCAGAACATGATTGGTAGAGAAACAGATGTCTGTGAGCCTTTTTTTTTCTTCTTCTGTTTTGTGTTGAGTTTTTTGTATTTGTTTTCTTTATTATTGTGGGTTTATTGTGCCTTCAGAGTTTTTTTATGTGTGTATTTCAGATCCTCTATCCTAATCACAGCAGGGGTGCCTGATCAAATGAAAATACTATTGTTTAGGTATTTTGGGAAAAGATCATAGCCAAAACTATCCTCAGTCACTGAGCTCTTCCATATTTTCTGTGTTGTAGCCACTAGCTAACAAAGTATTTAAATGAGCTAAGATTCTTTTAGGGATGAAATATCCACCACCTTTATAGATGATTTCTCCAGGTAGAATTTGAATGAATCTATTCTGACCAAACCTTCTTTGTCCAGATTTCTGCTGTGTCCTACGCATGTCCTGTGGCACCCAGCAAACAATCTCACTCACTGTTTTTTTTTCTCAGAGAAACTTCCTCTTTCTTCCAATCTTTCATTAGACAAAGATTTGTGAAGATACTTGTTGACAGTGTTGGCAGTAACTTCAATAGATGTTTCATTAATGGATACTCAAATTATTCTACTTATTTCCATAATTCCATTAAGTCTCTTACAATATAATGACAACATTACTGCATATAACATTACTGAAATTTGAGCGATTAGAGCAATTTTTCATAAGTGCATACTCTTTGCTACAGCTGAATCATCTTTGACCTGTTTGTTCAAATCACCAATTCATTTCAGGAACAACCCGAAACGAATCACCTTTATTGGCTGATTTTTTCATTTGACGTAAGCGAGCTGGTCATGCTGGTCATGTTCTGTGACACACAATGGCATCTGTTGCTCCAACATTATAGCTACAGTACGGTTGAAAATAGTCACATGAAAACGAATGCTCACTGC